CGACGGGTATTTGGCTGTATGACCTAAAAGCTATTAGTCCTGACCGTTTAGACCCATCATTAGTAACTGAACGATTTAATATCTCACCTTTGTCTAGTCAATCTTCTATTCAACAAGCCACATCATCTTCGTCGGTTCAAAAGTCTACTAATTCGAAGCATTTTCATTCTACTCGTTCAAATGTTGAACAACTAATAGAAGAAAATATAAAACTTAAGAATGAAAATGCTTTATTAAAGTCACAAATTTCAGTAGCAAATGAAGAACTAAATACTTACAAAAATCCTGGGACGTCCTCTCTACGTTCGGTTCTTAAGTACCCGGTTCCTCGCATTCCAACAGAAAGTTCACAGTCAACTACAGAAGACCAGACCGGGTCTGATCTACCTTCTCCTAGGAAAAAAAGAAAGACACTTCCATTTTCTCGGCTCCTCACTAGTAAAGAAAGTTGGCGCCAATTAGAAGAAGTGAACAGGGAAGTGGAACGTAAAGCCGACGAAGTGAGACAAAAAAAGGAGCTAGCAGCCCAAAAAAAGGAGATAGCAGCACAAAAGAAAGCTGAACGGGAACTTCGTTTGGCACAAAAAAACAAAAAAAGAGTGCAAAAGACTCTTGGAAAGCAGAAAGGTCTTTAAAAAAAGAAAGGGAAGTAAATTCGCCAAATTACCCTTTAATCTATTTTTTAGTACTATATACACAACAGCGATCTTTACCGATTTTCAATTATTATATCTTTTTTTTTTTTATAGAACTATTCTAAATATTGCATAATCTCGTGATTTCAAATATGTAAAATTTTACACAGGTCAATAAAAAGTTTAATCGATAGCATTGTTAACTTTGCCAAATTACCCCTTTTTACCTTAACTGTTAAAAATGCAGAATGCTCATTCAAACTTAGGATTGGTACAAGATACTCCTATCTTTAGAGTACTAGTATAGACAACTAGGTTTACATCTTTCCATGATTCTTCTACATTGCTGAAGTCATGAGCCTTTTCCACTGGATCAGATTTATCATGATATTCTTTGATCTGTAATTCTGGAAAATCAGTTTTGAGAGCATGAACAATTCCTTGTATGTCTTTTCTAAGGTGACAGATGAGCGATGCGTATATTCATTTCTCAGAAAGTAGTGAAGATATTTGCCTAGCCCAATCCCAAAGTTCAGCTAACACAGTTTCTTTATTAGGAACCAAGCGGAATGTTTTACTATTCTGAGGCTGGTAAGTATTATGAATAATAGCGAATGGTCTATCTTTACGAAGAGGCTTAATTCATTCAATATTAAGATCAGTAAGATCATTATTCATAATGATAATACGCCTCGCTTCTTGAATTAATTTATACAATTTTTCTATCGATTGTCCAGCAAAATGACTTTGTGTCTGAGCAATTATAGACACTATTTCATCAAGCCATAAATCATATTAGCTGGGACAACATTTACATTTTTTATTACAATTGCAATTATTAGTAATACGGTGTAAGCTCTCTATCTGACATACTACCCTCTTCTGATTGGGTAAATTTATATTACTATCGATATCGCAATATGACTTAAGATTAAGCTTTGTAGTAACAGCATTCGAGTAAGAGTGGCGTGTAGACAGCACTAGTAAATTTATGTCATCAGGAATAACCAAATTTTCAAGAACATATGTTTTTCCCGTTTCCCAAGCTGACTCCACATAAATATCGCCCTCATTGGGTAATTGTCTTACATACCTTTCCTTGTAAGTTTCTGTAGCCGTAAGGGTCTCACTATATTTGACCCAAGATGGTAT